ATTTTCTGCCTCACCTGCCTAATCCCAGCACCTGGCAATGCTAGATGAGCTCTGGTTAATGGAGAGGGAGGGCAGAAAGGCCCAGGTTTAATCCATGGGGCAGCAGCCCACGTAATGAGGATATTTATTCACGCCCAGTTTAGCCTTTGTCTCTGCACCTAGTATAGACTTCCAGTCCCTGGCTTCTCAATTCCCTGTTTTATTTTTTTGTTTTATTCTGGGAGACAACATGTCCTAACAGGGTTGAATCAACCTCAAGATTGCTTTGGAGTTGAGCTGGGTGTTTCAAAACCATCAGGAGCAAAAGGTTCCACCAAACCACTTGTCTTCTTTAAGTCGAGAAAGAGAGAGAGAGAGAGAGAGAGAGAGAGAGAGAGATATTTAGGAATCCAGTATCACTTTTGATGGGATAATAACAAAGCTATGGTGAACTATAAAGCTATGCCCTTCCCAATGCCCCCAAATTATAGACATGGTCATTTTATAAGCATCAACCCTTTAAAGTTCAAGTTTTCAAATTTCCTGGAAGTCACTTTCACACTCTCAGTGGCCCCTAAACCACAGATTGGGTGCAATCTTCTTTGCTTGAGATTCTAGAATTCTCTAATATTTTTGACAATAAGATGGTAATATTTTTTCTCAGGCTTGCAAAACAACGTTACGAGCCTGTACTCCATATCTGAAGCAAAGAAAGGAATACAGCTTCCAGAGTGAAGAAGATCAAAGGAACCCCAAACTCTGCCGGCAGCTGGTGAGTGAAGGAGGGTAGGAGAGAATTCTCCCAGAGGTCTCTGTACTCCCGGTGTTCATGCAGAAGGTGGCTGGGCACCATCAGGGAGTTATCCCTCATAAAACCACTCGGGCCAATTATGTTTCAATTGCAATTGACCCATAACCAAACGTAAATGGCTAAATGCCTGGAGGATTATGAACAAAGCATATTGGCAGTTCCAGTACAGATCAGTTAATGAACACAGGCAATGGCACCTCCAACTCTGAGAATCTGAAGATTCCTTGTCTTTATGCTTTGCATTTGACCACTGTCGACACATTCTGTACTCGAGGAGGTTTGCTGACTCCCTCCTTCATCTGTACCTTTGCTGATTTCTTTCAGAGCCACTATCATCCAGAGCTCCTGCAGTACTTCTACGCAAATAAAATTCTGTAAACACAGCAGCCAGGCAGTGGTTCCACGTGAGCACATTTCGGGATGGCTGATGGTCCCTTTTTTAACTCTTTAAATGCTTCTGTTCGCCTCTTGTGATTGTAATAGAAAAGGAGAGCAATTGATGGCAAAAACAACAATGTGGAATTGTATAATGATATCCAAAGTAAATTTAAATTGCTTACATTTGTCATTTTCTCCCTATACAAAGTGGATGAGACATTTAAAGTACATGTAGATTTAATGATTATTTCTCAGCTTTTTTCTTCTTAAGTTCAACGCTGTCATCTATCTTTTATTTTTAATTTCTGAGGCTTAGGAAAATAACTGTTACCTTAAGTATTTTTTAAATCTGCTATTGATACTTTGCTGTTTGCTACTGACATCTTTTTTTGGCAAGACCTATTTAAAGTTGGTCAAGGTACTAAGAAGATGATTTAGAGGGGTATCTTTAGCTTCTCATAATCTTCAACACCCATTGCCTACGAGATCGTTCCAAATAAGAATTAATAAAGAGAAAAACAATCTATAAAGCATGTGCTGAAAAACCTCAGGTCGATGGCAGTGTATGGAATAATAACAATAATAACAATAAGTACCATTTATTGGGAATGTTTATAATTTATTGGACACTAAGTGCTGTGCAAGTTTTATTTAATAAAACAACACTACGATAAAAGTACTGTTATTATCCTAATTTGATAAATGAGAAAACTAAGGCAAAGAGAAATTAAGTAACTTGCTCAAGATGACCCAGTAAATAATGGAGCCATAATTCAAGTCCATGTGGTCTGACTTCTGGAGCCTGCATTCAACTAACATACCTTATTGCCTTGTTATGGAATAATTGATGGATGGTTAGAAATGTAAGAAAAAAACGTGCTCCAAATCACTCTTTCTGTTCTCCTTCTAAGACTGACTTGGGCTGTTGGGTCATGTCAACAGAAGCATTTGTATCTTGATGAGGGTTGTTGCGGCAGATCCCGAAGAAAGCCATAGTCCCTTAGTTCGAGCCCTAGATTATTGGACCATTCGAAGCGGAGTTGCTTTTCAACTCGTGGGAGGGACTCCCGTGCTACTGCTAACACTGTTCAAACCTTGAAAACAGGTGAGAAAGTATAAGAGAATTGTCCTGGACCTGCTGGTGCATGGACTGTATGACCCCGTGAGTTCTGAAGTCATCCACGAGAGTATGAAGACTCTGACCACCATCCTGGGAAAGAGCCAGGGGAAAGGTTTGGGCTCCTTCTTCATAGACATCACTCTTCAAACCAGGACTCTATTAGATGATGTAAGTGAGACAGCTCAGAAAAATTCTGGGCTATGAAAGTCTAAGTGGGATTAGAATTGTGAGCCCTGGGGAGTGTGTTGCTCAGGACACAAGATCTCTGTTATTCACTTACTTGTTCACAAATCTTACCGAAAGACTCAGTACTGTGCTGAGGGCTATGGAAGATATAAAGAAGATTAGGATTCCAAAACTACTCCTCGAGTTTTCATTGTAATAGAGAAGTGAATATATGTACACTGATGAGGATGACAACAATACCAGTATGTATTCAATGCTCTCTTATAAATGTAACAATAACAGTGGTTAGCATCTAGTGAGCTCTTACTGTGTGCCAGGCACGGTGCTAGGCAATTTACACGGATTATCTCATACAGTCTTCAATAACCCTATGAGGTTGGCACTATTATTATTTTCACTTTATAGATGAGGAAACCA